AATTCGTATTCGAGGATTTTTAATCGCCATCGCTCACATCGTTTGTTTATTTGAGCTTTTTTGTTCAACTGAGTTAATGCTTTATGATCAGTTTCCCATGTAAATTTCGTACCACTTAAATGATTATGCCATTTGTCTAATGAATGAATAAATGCATAACATTCTTGTTCCATTGGAGACCAGCGACGTTGAGCTAATGTAAATTTCTTTGAAATATATGCTACTGGTCGATTTCCTTCTGGATAAACTTGAAGTAATACGGCTCCGATTCCCTCATCTGATGCATCTGTTTGTACAATGAAAGGGTATCTGTTGTTCGGTAGACGCAGCACTAAGTCTGTCGTGAGGAATTCTTTTAATCTTATGAACGCTTCTGTTTCTTCTTGTGATAAGTTAATTTTGGTTTTCTGTCCTTTCTTCTGCTGAGTGCGTGTTGTTGGAACAAATTTCCTGAGCGGTTCGGCGACTTGTGAAAAATTTGGTATGAATTTCCGATAATATTCAGCAGCTTTTACGAATTTGCAAGCTTCGTCCGGTGTTTCCGGGACTTTTGTATTTAATAAACCGTGTATATTCGTTGGACATGGTCGAATTTCACCATTTTTGATGCTGTGTCCTAAATAATCGGTCTGTGTCCTTGCAACTTCACATTTCTCGGGATTTAGACGAAATCGAGCATTTCTCAATATTTGACATATTTCATTGAGATGCGTAACGTGTTCATTGAAAGTGGTCGAATAAATGATAACATCATCAATGTATGCTAAAGCGTATTTCCATCGTGTAGGACCTAGTATGTGGTTAATTATGCGTTGGAATGTCGCCGGGCCATTCGTGATGCCTTGTGGTAATACTGTAAATTGATAATGATTGTCTCGAGTTGAGAATGCGGTTTTCGGTCGGTCCTCCTTGGAGAGGGGTACCTGAAAGTAACCGGATTTGAAATCGAATTTGGTGTAATATTTTGCATCGGTTAATTGGTCGAATATTTCGTCAATTCGAGGTAGTGGAAATGCATCTTTGATTGTGATTGCGTTTAATCGACGATAATCAATGCAGAATCGCATCGTTTTGTCTTTCTTCTTGACGAGAACAACAGGAGAAGACCATGGTGATGTCGATTCTTCAATTTGACCGCGTTCAAGGAGTTTTTGTGTTTCTTCCGTTTTGATTTGTTGATCTCTGCTTGAAGCTGAATATTGTTTTGAGTAAATCGGAGGATGATCACCGGTTCGAATTGCTGATTGTGGTGGAATGTCAATGATCGATGGTGTTGGATCAAATAAAATCTTGTTTCGCCACAGTATTTCTTCGATGATTGCCTTGTGTTTTGGATCATGAATGTGTTTCGTTAATTCTATGATTCTTTGTCGCATTTGATCTGAATAACAGTTCGCTCGTAGATGTTTTTGTAAATCATTACCGGATAGAAAGTATTCTTCACATTCATCGCAAAAATTATTTGGTTGCGGTTTTCTCGAGTTGTCTGTTGTGTTCAAGACAGCTCTCGTTGTTCGTGTGTTCCTATTTGGTGGTTGATGGTCGTTTGTCATGTTTGTAGTGAAGATCGATAACGTAGAATGCTGCGAGAATGTTCCTATGCGTGTGTTTTTTGATATCGTGTGTTCGTTGTTGTGTGCGTTGATTAATAAAATCTTCGATTGATTTCCTTCAACATTCACCAGTGAGTATGGTATAAAAATAAGTTTCGATGCATAATTAGCATCTGGTTCGAATAAAAGATCTTCACCACGATAGAGTGGGCATTTAACATCGATTAATGTTTGAGAATGAGGTGCTAATGTAATTTGATTGACTGATGTTGCTGGATAATTAACATTGTTCGGTTCTACATAGGGAATTGATATCCGTTGATTGTGTCGATCAGGAATTGTTAGTCGTTGTTCGTCACCAAATAAGTGTATTCGATTCGGATTAATCCAGTCATTACCTAATAGGATTGGTGTAATTAAATTTGTTGCGACGTGTGTAATGATGGTGGTT